GGAAATTTAGTCATTTCTAGAGAGTTCAGTAGCTGCGCACAACAAAGAATACTAGTATTGTGCAATTAGTCCAGGAAGGTCACTTAAGCAAACAGCAGCTAAAACATCTGCAACACGAAATTCTGTGGCTGGAGGAGAGGAGGCAAACAAAGAATCTGATTTCCAAATTACGTTGGGACCAGCAGTTAGTGTAATGGCTATGTTGCTGGACTCCCATGTAGTCGACTGCGGTTTGTGTACTGGACCCGGTGGCTTAAAACTCACGCCGGGCACATGTACATGTGAACCCAAGATCCCAAGAGGAGAATGGAGGAGAAGGGATTGCAGCGTGGCCATCCTCTCTGGGGTGTGATTTCTCACTTTCTGTCTCTATGGCTCTCTCTGTCTGTCTGACAAGCACACGCGCCCTATAGCAAAAAGTCTCAAAAAAACAATTATGTTTTCTTTGTCACAGAAAAGTTGTAAGCTACACAGAGAAGCAAAAAATGACAGTCCATTCGTGTGCACACACACAAAGCAGTCAGTAGAAACTGTCCCTAAGGAAGAGCATATGCTGGACTGGCAAAGACTCTAAATCAGCTACTGTAAACGTGTTAAAAGAATTAAACACCATGTTTACATTATTAAAAGAAAGTGTGAGAACAATTTCCTACCAAATGGAGAATACCAAGAAAGTGATCGAAATTACTTGAAAAAGAACCAAGTAGAAATTTAAGAGTTGAAAAGTGCAATTAATTGTCAGACCTAACAGCAGATTGAGCTGGCAGAACAAAGAATCAGAGAGCATGAAGCTAGTCAATAGAAACTGTCCAGCTTGAAGAATGGAAAGAAAGAAGTAAAATAAACAAAACTTCGGAGACTTGAGAGATACCATTTAAGCATACCAACACAAGCATGCTGGGAGTCCCAGAAGAAGAAGATAGAAATGAGAGACTTGGGAGATACTATTTAAGCATACCAACACAAGCATGCTGGGAGTCCCAGAAGAAGAAGAAGATAGAAATGAGTGTAAGGATTATTTTAACAATTAGTGGCCCTAAACTACTCAAATTTGATTAAAAAACATTAGTCCATACATCCTTGAAGTTCAGTAGTATGGAGAATAGGCTTTGTTTTTAAGATAATGAAAGTATTTTGAAACTCAATATACAGTGATAATAATTACACAACTCTGAGACTATGCTAACAACTACTGAATTGTATAATTTAAAATGATAAATTTTACAGCAAGTGAATTATATCTGTTCAATTAAAAATGAAAAAAATAAAGCATGTTCTGTATAGTGATTGAAGTATTTTAAAGATATATTAAGTGAAAGAAAGGATCTTTACAATGTATTTAGTGAGCCACTTATGAAATTACTCATTTAGTAAGACAAGAGGGAAAGAAAAATACTCAATTATTTGACCTTACATTAAAAACAAAAACAAAAACAAAAACACTGTAAGGAGGCCAGACAGTGGCACAATGGTAACACAACTAGACCCATAGCCCAAGGCCTTCCTGTAGGTGCTGGACTATGTGTGTGTGTGTCTGTGAGCTGGGCTGGCAGGGACTGGAGTGAATCATGGCCTGAGGACCCTGTAAGGATTCATAGGAAATTAATAAATATGATTACTCAGAGACCTGGACATGTATGTAGATGTGGATGGAAGCTAAACTTATCATCTGTCTTTTTATATCAATTTATCAATTTCAACTGTGTATATTGTTATCTTTAAAATAAGGTTTCTAAATTCTTGTAGGAATTTAGTAGGGAAATCTTGTGGAAATAAGCTGTACATAAGTGAATATTTAAAAAATTTTCCCTTTCTGTAGGCTATTTTGTTTCACAAATTGATTTTTATATACATGGCCCAATATGTAACGAATTAAGGCCATTTGAATACCTGAACTCTAATGTGGATATGCATTTTCCAGGCTGGTGTTTTAAATGAACAATGTTTTAGAATACTGAACACATTTTTCCTCTGGAAATAATGCAATGAAGAACAAGTGAGTAGATCATACATGATAGATTCTACGGTCAGGTCACAAGAGCTGACTGTAAATGTCACTGAACTGTATTCTAACAGAACCATGAGTGTAGACAAAACTTAGGTGTTTGCCAAATTGACCAAAGTCTTTCTAAATGTTAAGCATCTGGAACAGCAGTTGGCAAGTTTTCCTGTCAAAGGCCAGATCCTAAATATAAGGGTCTTCCAAAAGTTCATGGAAAACATGTAGTATGAAAAAACTGTGCATGAATTTCAAAATATTTGTGGCATCCAAATAAACATGTACTTTATTATTTATTTATTTATTGGAGAGGTTTTTGCTGCAGGGCACATGCACTCTCCAGAAAGACACAGAGAGACAGAGAGATAGAAAGTGAGAAATCACCCTCCAGGGAGGATGGCCACACTGCAATCACTTCTCCTCCATTCTCCTCTTAGGATCTTGGGCATGCACGCACACGCGCCTGGCGTGAGTTTAAGCCACCAGGTCCGGGACTCGGAACTGCAGTCGGCTACATGGGAGTCCAGCGACATAGGCATTACACTAACTGCTGGTCTCTTTTTTATTTATTTATTACATACATTTAAAAATTTTGTTGCTGTTTGTTTTTCCATAGAGTGTATGTGCTCACTGGAGAGAAACAGGCATTGAGAGGGAAGGTGAGGAGTCACCCCTCAGGGAGAATGTGTATACTGGAATCCTTTCTCCTCCACTCTACTCCCAATTTTTTCAGCACGTGCACGCACACACACACACACCTGGCATGATTTTTAAGCCACCAGGTCCTGGACTTGAACTGCAGTCAGCCATGTGAGAGTCCAGCACCCTAATCACTATGCCACCTGCTGGCTCCTAAACTTGTACTTTCCTTCCAATTAATTCCATTTTCTTGAAGCCCCCAAGTGTGGGCTCGGTGGGCCACGCTGTCTGTGATGCAGTGGCTCAACCCTGCTTGGTATAGAGAAGCAGCCATGGCAGTACAAACATCTGTGCCCCATTAAAGTTTTTTCACAAAAACAGCCTCTGGGTTTGGCCCATGGGTCACAGTTTACCAGTCCCTGACCTAGAATACTGATCTGAGGGAAGGGAAAAAACATATTCTAGTTCTTAGCACCAAGAACACTTCTTTCTTCCATTGTTCTGTCGGTAGAAGTGGCCCTTCCTTCTCCCATGCAGCAGGTAACCCCTGACTTCTATGGCTGTGGTGGTGCACAGGTACCTTTTGGGGACTTCATCCTAAGTCTTGGCACTAAACAAAACTCTCAGTAATGCGTCTTTGAAGGAGAGAGATGCGCAGGGACTGGTACTTGAAGGAGGAAGCGCTTCTGAGTATGTCACTTCCCCACCTCCTCCTTCCCATGCTGCCGTGGGGCACAGCAAGAAAGAACACCAGAGAATTAGACCAATCACTTCCCAGCTCGATGCTGGCCTCTGATTGCAAACATCCTGGGCCTCAGTTTCTCTTAAGTTTTACCATCCCCAGATACAACATGAAAAGATTTGCGATGGTATTTAAGGTCTCTTCTGGCTCTAAGGATGGCGTTGAGGGGATTCTAGTAACAGCAGATTTGAATGACATATGACTTTTTTTTTTTTTTTTTGAGAGAGAGATTTTCACTGTAGGGCGCGTGCGTTCGCCAGACAGACAGAGAGAGACATTAGAGACAGAAAGCGAGAAATCACCCCCCAGGGGGGATGGTCACGCCGCAATCCCTTCTCCTCCATTCTCCTCTCGGGATCTTGGGCACGCACGCACACGCGCCCGGCGTGAGTTTTAAGCCACCGGGGCCGGGACACGAACCGCGGTCGATTACGTGGGAATCCAGCGACATAGCCATTACGCTAACTGCTGGTTCCCGACATATGACTTTTTAAACCAGGAACTTCGTATATTATTTTTCTGAAGAATTTTTGCTTAGAAAAATGGAGGTGTGTAATTGTTGCTTGTGTTCCTTCTGTAGGGGCCAAGATGGATCTCGTGCTCAGTGTTGCGGATTATTACTTTTTTACCCCGTATGTATATCCAGCCACGTGGCCAGAGGACAACATCTTTCGCCAAACCATCAGTCTCCTGATTGTAACAAACATCGGCGCGTACATCCTTTATTTCATCTGCGCAACGCTGAGCTATTATTTTGTCTTTGATCATGACTTAATGAAACATCCACAGTTTTTAAAGGTAAGAGACGATGTATTTTCCAATGACTGTTACAGTGAAAGCAATGTCTTTGTAAGGTTTTATGTAACCATTAAATCAAGTTTTTAGAAACCAGCTCTAAATGGGTTCCCTCTTTTTGTGAGAGCTAATAGCTTCTCTGTCCTTTAAACAAATCAATGAATCTTACTTTTTGTTTTTTTCCTTCCTTAAGTTTTTGCCCTGGAGTATGTGCAGTTGTTGGAGACAGAGAGAGAGAGGGAAAGTGAGAAATCACCTCCTAGAGGGGGTGACCATGTGTCATAACTGCAATCACTTCTCCATTCTCTTATGATTTAGGGCATGCATGCACTTGGGCTCAGCGTGATCTTTTTAGGTTTTTGCCATAGGGCATGTGCAACTGGCTGAAGAGAGAGAGATCAGTAACGTGAGAAATCACCCTCACCCTGGGGAGGAATGGCCATGCTGCAGTCCCTTCTCCATTCTCCTCTCAGCCTCTTAGGATTTTGGGAATGCATGCACATATGCCTAGGGTGATTTTCAAGCCATTGGACTTGAACTGCCACATAGCCATGTGTGAACCCAGTGCTTTAACCACCACGCCACCTCTAGCCCCTGAATCTAACTTTAAAACAAACAAAAAGCTATAGACCTAGTACCTGTTTTTTTGTTTGTTTTACGCTATAAGGTGTGTGGGCTCACTGAGGAGACAGAGATAGAAAGCGAGAAATCACCCCCTGGGGAAGTGGCCACACAGCAATCCCTTCTCTTCCATTTTCCTATTGGGATTTTGGCACGCACACACACGCACCTGGTGTGAGTTTAAGCCACCGGGTTCAGGACTCAAACTGTGGTCGATTGCGTGGTAGTCCAGCAACATAACTGTTAGGCCATCGGCTTGTCCTAGACCTGATATCTTACCTAACTATTGGGTCGTTGGAAAAGTCATGAGGCATTTTTGCATAGAAAAATGTAGGAAAAAAATACATCATGGCTTTCCTGACAACCCAGTACGCTCATATTGGTAAATAAATGACTACACACATTTATGTAACTATTTTAAATCTTTGGGTGACAAACTGAAATGTTTTCACCTTTTGGGTTTTTTTGGCTAGATAAAGGATTCAAGCTGGGTAGTTCCAGAGTTGTTTACAATGATTTTTCTATTTTAGTTACTTGTATTTGTTAGTTTACTTCAGGGACTGAATTTCTTAAGAAAGATATTGATGGGCCAGCAGATGGCGTAGTAGTTAACGTCACTGGATTCCCAGATGGTCAACCCTGGTTCAAGTCCTGGACCTGGTAGCTTGAAAGTCATATCAGGCACATGTGTATGTGTGCGTGTGTGTCCAAGATCCTAGGAGGAGAATGGAGAAGAAGCAATTGTGGTGTGGCCATCACCCCCTGGGGGGTGATATCTCACTTTCCCTCTCACTGTCTCTATCTCTCTCCAGTGAGTGTACTCGCTTAAGACAAAAAACTCTAAAAAAGTACTTAGAATAGAAGTTAGTGAAAGAAATGTTTATTCCACGAGTAGAAATTTAGAATATAGATTTTCATGGGAAGGAAAAAAGGGTTCAAAATTTAAAATGTTTATTTCACTTGCGCAGTACAGAAGAAATTTGGGGATTTTACACACCCATTCCATGTATTACAGTGTTAACTGAAAGAGGTTAGAGGTATGCCCCTTCTTAAAAAAAGAGATGTTAAAAATTCACGTTAAAACAATTTTCTACTAGTTTTAACAGATTTTTAAATTTCTAACCACTGGAAATTTCATTTTCAGAATCAAGTCTATCGAGAGATTAAGTTTACCGTCCAGTCATTGCCGTGGATCAGTATTCCCACTGTTTTATTGTTCCTGCTGGAGTTGAGAGGTTACAGCAAATTATATGATGATGTAGGAGAGTTTCCAAATGGTGAGTTAATAATGTGGGCATCAGGAGAAGATGCTCTAGGCATACATCAGTTTTATTTTATTTTATTTATTATTTTTATTTTTAAGTTTGTTATCGGGCACATGTGCTCACTAGAGAGAGACAAAGAGAGAGAAAGAGGGAACCAGCAGTTAGCGTAATGGCTATGTCGCTGGACTCCCACGTAGTCGACCGCAGTTCACGTCCTGGACCCGGTGGCTTGAAACTCACGCCGGGCGCGTGTGCATGCGTGCCTAAGATCCTGAGAGGAGAATGGAGGAGAAGGG